GGATATGGACTGTCTGGGGTGGAAAAGTCCTGATACCAACTTTGAAAGCACATATAGCATATTTGGCTTTGTTACCAGGGATCGAAAACCACCTTTTTTCTATCTGGTCATGATTAGCACATATAGGTGGCATCCGACATCAAACCGACAAATTTGGAGCCGATGATTGGATAACCGACAAATTTTTGAATTTTGATTAGTCAGATATTTTATAAGCAATCTGATTGGGCGATGCAGTTGTCGGATGAGTAACATATCACTCACATATAACATATACAGCTTGCTATTGGTTGAAAACACATTCGGAGTAACAATAACCAAGACTTCGGCACAAGCCATCCCAAGTATTGTAGTACAGTTGCGGCCACGCTAAGCAAAGCCTCCCCTAAGGACAAGCAGAGGACAAAAGGCAAGGCAAGTGCCAAAGGTCGAAGTTACAAGCGTAAAGTTCAATCCGTTGCCGTCCCGGTCATCCATGTTAAGGAGAACGAAGAAGTCGAAAGATAAGATGCCATCTCGTTCTTTGATCATACGTCCGTCCTGGTGGAGCCGCCAACGAAACCCAAGCAGACCAACACTCACCCAACGGACACTGCCGAGTCCACGGCAGTGTCATGGAGCCACAGCAGGCGCCGCTCCATCTCCGCGGGAGCGAAGATTTCAGTGCATTTGGGGAAGATGTGGTGAAGATGGAAGCTACGGCACGGACGGGCGAGCCTTCGGCCGCCATGAAAGACTTTGGCGGGAGCATTGATGTTGATCTGGTGACGCGGCACATGGCCTTGTTGACGGCGCCGACGCCGTCGCCGCCGCTCCATGTCGAGGACATTCCAATGTTGGACAACATCGTGGACGACGAGCAGCATGCCGCCGTGGAAACAGAGAAGTACGAGAGAACGTGGCCAGCGGGCAAGATGTTTGGCGACGATGACAAGGACGTCGACCCCGACCAAACGACTTAGATCAGAGTAGACATCACTGCTGCTCAACAGCCTAGTAGTAGAACGGTGATTAGTTGCTGCTTAACAGCATAGTAGTAGAACGGCGATTAGTAAGCGCCTCGGATAGGACTACCGGTACGTATTTTGCTACTAACGTTATTAAGTACTTACTTCTAGTACAGTAGTAGTAGACATTATTCATATCGTTATTCTACTAAAATCCTGGGGACCTTGCATTCACAATAGCAACCCAGGCAGCCAACGGCAAAGCTTCTGTAGCCTTTTCTGTAAGAGCCAATCAAATCCACGTCGTGTCCTCACGGTTCATGTCCTCACACATCTCTAAAAACCAACATACGACATTTGGACTTTGTATTGAAAATGAAGAGTCATCTACCAATGAAAGGTACGAAGTATTGAAATTTTAACCAATAAGACTAATAGCGAGATTTCGGGGCGAAATATTTATCCTTATCCTCAAAAAAACCTGCTGAGATGAATAAGAGTTGGGGAAACCTCCGGAAACTAGTAAAGGATTCCTCAAAACCACCCATGTTTGAG